GAGCCAACTTTGGAACGCCAAAGCTCTCATAAACCGACCCCCCCCCCCCTAACCTCCCCCCCCCCCCCCAAACCCCCAAACCCATGCGGTTTTGGTACACCAAGCCTCAAGGCATCGGAAGAAAGCCCCGCGTCCGATCCCAGGACCCAGAGCTGCTCAGTGGCCTGGGGCGGCAGGGGCCGGATGCTGCCCGGAGCTCGGGGGATGGCATGGAACTTCCCCACGGAGCTTTATTCCACTTGCCGAAAAATTCGGTTTTTCAGGATCCCCGGTTGGTGTTGAAGGGAACCGATTTCACTGGAAAGATTTATCTTCATGTTTTTCTTTTTTTTTCTCCAGGGAAAGCTAAATGGAGGTTTCAGGGGAGCGTGTGTAGCATCCTGGAACAGGGGCACCCAAAGCACAACCCATCACTTGTACCCACGCTTGAATGTTCAACCCGCTTGGTAAGCGATTTGACCATGGTTTCAGGATGGACGAACTCCTGCACCAGGAAAGAAGAAGCTTGGAATGACGATTCCGCTGGAAATGGTTCCATCCACAGTATCACCTACTTGCCTGACGCTGTTTATTGAACATCCAAGGGACGAGATTCCCCTGAGAGCTTCTCCAGCTTAGGATTCACCACCTTCGGGTTCCTTTTGACACCTGTGCCCAAAAAAAAAAAACATCTCTTGGAGGCCCCTCAGGTGCCCATTTCCTGGGGCTGTCAGGACCGATGATCTTCGTTTGGCTGTGGTATTTGTTCACCGCCGGTTTTTTTTGGTTAAAGGCCCTGTCAACTAGGTCCCACAGCAATTGGTGCCCTTTCTCACCCGTTTCTTTTTTGGTTGGGAGGGTTCCCCTACTAAAGTAGACTGCAGAGAAAGTTGGTGCCCTTATTCTAACCTCTCTACTGGAGGTCCTAGTCAAAACGAGTCGTTTGTTGGCGGGGTAATATTCAAAAGGAGATTTCAGGAACCCTGGGTTGTGATTCTCCCTCAACATTGCCATTCGGAGCTGAGAGCCGCTCCATGACATCATATTGTTGAAAGCATTCGGAGAGGTGAAGTCAGCTTTGCTGGGTACCAAATCAATATCAACAGTGTGGGAAATGGGGAAAAAACAAGAGCGATTGGAAGTGGAATTGTTTGCTGCAAGAAGCATCACGGACAACAATATTATTTGTCGCAAGCGGGGGGGGGGGTCCTTGCTTGAATGTTCAACTTGGCAAGTGGGTTACAAACCGTGGTTGTACATGCAACAGGTCGTGGACATCTAACCATAGCTATAGCCGACTTATCTGAGGCGGACAAGGACCATCCAAGGGTTGGGAGTACGATGCCTCGGGAAGGGGGATTTTTCTGGGTGGTTCCTTCCAATTTGGAGACAAGGCCCGAAATGGTTTCCCTGCCAAACCCAACCCAAAAAGGCAACACAAGGGGCCAACTGATTGCTCATGGTTTGCTCCTGTAATCATGACAATGGCTGGTTTGCCTTTGGCTTCCAAAATGGCGCAAGAGTGTACCCTCCAACACAACACGTACCCTGAAAACGGGAGGTTTTTGAAAAGGGCCATGGAAGTCTTTGAGGCGACGCTGCTCCTGCCGCTGGTGGCATACTTGCAGCCAAAGCTGAGGCGGGCGGGTTGTGTTTTTTGTTGTTACCCCAAGTAAAACTTTAAATTTAGGGCCCATCTAAGGAAATCACTCTGGGAAGTTCACCTTGAAATCTTGGAACCAACATGCACCAATTTCGGGGTGTGCCAAGCCCTTCCAAGGAAGCCTGGAAGGAATTAGCGGCCCAAGGGCAGCAACCCCAGTAGCCTGAAAGACGATTTGCCTTTAAGAGGACTCTTTGGTGGTGCGTCCCGTGTTCGTGGACAGGAGGGTAAATTTCACAGCTTGTCTTGTAGTAAAAGCTTCATTTGCATTTAAAGCACCCCCGCAACTCCACAACCCTATTCTAATGCCTGTTGGACGCCCTCTCAGAAGATGCACCCCGCACGTTTGTTGCTTGAACTGCTTGGACTGAGCAGTTCAGCTCGAAGGGCATCCAGTTGACTGTTTGGCAGCATGCCGTTCCTCACTGGCCCAAAGCGACTCGACCGTTTGACCTTTGGTTTTCCCTTGTCGGTTCATTTTGGAAAGGTGGAGCTTTCATTGGTGGGTCCTTTGGGCAAAAGGTTCCGTTGGTTGACTTCATGGTTCAGTTGGATGTTTCTCATCAGGAACACGCTCGTCCGAAAGTGGCGGTGCCCAATGTTCCGTTTCGGCTTTCCATGCAAACCAGCTAAAAGTGGGATTCCCAATTTTGGGACAGATTGCAGGCTTCGGCGATTTGCGTTGGGATGGTGAGTGAGATCCAAATTGAAACATGGGAAGTGAGTGATGAGTCACCATCGCGGCATTCAATTCATCACCATGACTAGTCAACTGATTGGAGAAGGTTTTACTCCTTTTTCTAGGGGTAGCTTCCACATTCTTTCCAGGCATCCTTCTTTCTAAAAACAACCCAGAACCCTGGGGAAACAGCTGGTTTTTGAAAAGAACGATGGTTGCAAAGAATGGACAAGGAATCAACCCCTAGACTTTTGCAGATTTTCCCGGGGCTTCGGCTCCCGCTTCTCTCCGTCTATGGAAGAGGCACCCCCAAAAACCACCTGCGGGAGGCCTACCGCTGCACCAAACCTGTACCTTTCAGGGGTGTCAAAGAGACAGGTGTTTCCTCTAAGAACCCGTTGTCAAAGAAGGGGGGCCCAACCAAAAAAGACATATGGGTATGGGTCAAAATTCAACCAGGGTAGCGCAGGTGTTAGTCCTTGGTTCCATTTGCCAGGGTTCCCAAAATGGGAACCTGTTTGTGACCCACAGCCATATCGCGGCTGGTGTGTCCAATGTTGTTTCCTTTAAAACCGCCACCAGCGCCCGGGTCCAAACTGCATATGTCCAAAATCTCCTTTTGATGGCTTCAACCCCAAACCACCCCCAAGGAGTATCAAGGTTTGTGTAGTGGTTTGGGGGTAGTGGGCTCCATTTTAGATTGGCACGGGACCACAAAGCAGTTGGGTCATACCCCATGCTTGATAGTGGTTGTATACTCCATGTTTCCAACTTGAGGGTAGACTCCATCTTAATCAGAAAGCACTTGGGACCTGGTGCCACATGCGAAAGGCTCATGCCACGTGCCATGTTTCAGGTGGCTCCCGGAGGAGCCACGGCTCTTGCAGAACCTTTTGGTGCGGATGCCTGAAGTTCCTAGGGGTTGCGAGAGCGAGGGGGAGGCGGTTTCAACTTGAGTTGGTACCCCCTTTTTTTTGGGCGGGTGTTCAGAGACACCAGAAGGAGAACCAGCATTCTGTGGCAGGGGGGAAGTTTTTTTTTTTCTAGCTTGGTTTGGTTAGAAATAGATGCGTTCCACTGGTTAGACGGGATTTATTCCACTTACCAAATTTCCGGCGCCATCTACTTTACCAAAAGGCCATCATGCTTGATGAAGGGGGGGGGATCAAATGGTCCGATAAACATGGGATGACCACCAAAAAGATGAATCACTTTCCCAATTGGGACAAGCTACCCGTTATTTCTGGGCCCAGAAAAAAATGATGAGCCCCCACATGTTCGAGAAGGTGCTCTTGGGCCGCAAGGGATCCGTTCTTTCGTATCTCACGTTTTGTCTCAGTAGCTGGAAGGGGGCTTATCAAGGCCTTAGGGCCCCCCACTTGAGCAGCGCCCAAGACCCAGTAGGCTAGTAGGGCCATCTTAGGTGGTTCTACTACCTGGTTTTAAATAGGGGTTATAGTAAGGCCTGTATATGCAAGACTTCATCACAATTTTAGCAGAACCCAAGGTCAATGGGCGTTGGTCGCTGCTCACGCGTGTTTCATCTTGAGTGTCCTCTTTCCGTCATGTCGTTTTGCGCGCTTAGGCTGGCATTGGTACATAGCTGTACTATCAGCAACAAGAGACAACGACAAACGCCGCTGCTCGCTTGGCTTGTTTGACAGGGCTCCTTAAAAGATACATTTTGCAACCATTTGAAACATGGCTTTTTCCAGCCAAATAAAGGGAAACCACCATTTACAAGTTGCAATGTTCAGGTGTGTTCACTGTAAGGATCCCTGTTTGATTTGGGCCCCAAGTAACAGCCTCGTTCCGCTCAGCGCCTTCAGGCGCGAATGACCAAGCCGGGCGGGTGCTGCTGCCTCGGTTCGAAGCGGTTCTTTCGATCCCAAAAGGGGGGGGTCCTTTATATGGCCCTGGGTCAACACCAATGGTATCCCATTTTGAGACAGGCGCACCACCCATTTTAGTCGGGATTGGGATGCTCACAGGGTTGACCCATGGCCATATAGTCCATGCGCAATGTAACTTGGGGGGTGGATTTTTGGTGTTTTTCCCCAACAGCTGAAGGCTACCTTTGCCCAGATAGGCTCTGGGGCGGTTTGGGGCAGCTTTCAGGGAGGGGTCCAGGGGGTTTCAGGGCTCCTATTTGTTCCAAAAGGGGCGTGTCCGCTTTCCCGGCCATCCAAAAGGAGTGAGATATCCCTTTGTATGCACCATCGACAAGGGGGTCTAAATTTCAAGAACTCGATCCAGTGGGTTCCGGAGCTGGGCTGGTCAAAAGCAATCCTACTGAGTCAAGAACGGGCTCCCCCCTTGTACTGGTTTTCCTGTAGGGATTGTGGACTTTCTGCAGACTAGCGGCAGAGAAAAACAACAGTACCACAAAGACAGAGGCGAACTCAAAGATACTGAGAAAGAGAGGACAGTTTGACAGAACTTTGTCCATCTCTGCGGCGTCGGCTTAAGCGCGTGAGTTTGTCGGCGCGACTCAAAATTCGGGACGTGACAAAGAAAGAGCCCGGCTAGTGTGGACTCACAACCCCTCAATGCATTCGCTTTTGCGCGCCGAGAAAGAACTCTACACGATGCCTTTTTGCAGGTTTTTTGCCTCGAAAGGGCCAGTTTCAGACAGCCACGCATCCACCAGTCGATGGGGGTTGACATATCCGAAGCGGAGTTTCTTGCAGAACCGTTCCGGGGGTGTCGCGCTCTCCGCATGTCTGCCCGGCCCTCAGAGAGGTTTGGGGAGCCTTCGATCAGAACTTTCAAGGATAGAAGGAACCTTGTTGAGTTGTGGGGGGGCCCTTTGGTTGCTTCCCTACTTCCTCACTTCCTGAGTTCATGGACTCTTTTTTGTTTTGTTTGGACCATTTTGGTGGTAAATAAGAAGTTTGGCATATGTTTGGCCTGTCCACTGAGGAAGTGAGCTTCTGGATCTTTGCATGCTGAGTTTGGTTTCCTAGCCCATGCTCGAAATGGTAGAGGGCACCCCGTTTACAGTCGGTTTCAAGGAGAATTAGAGGGGCATTCGCCACCCGGGTTTCCAACACCTCCCCTTCCGCATGTGGTTGCTCTCTTTGGCTTCACCAAAAGAAGCTTAGGTTTTGGAAAATTGCGGAAGATTCCCACTGCACGCCTGTTGTTGTAAGAGGTGCCTGAGACCAGCTGAATTCGCCTCAACACAGCAGGCCCTTCCCGAGGACAGGTGCAAGCCCATCCAACGGGTCCAAGCCCACTGAACATGGTTTTCACTTTACGGTTCTTTTTTGGGGGACACGGGGTTCCGATTTTCTTGTTGCGACTCCATACTGTAGGTGTCTTTTGAACGGCCAGCTTGGTTGAACACCAACACATTTTTTGGCCTCAGTTTTGATCTTCGGTTTTCATGAGGAAAACCATAGTTTTCGCCTCTTGACCGGGTAGCTCCTCTCTTGCCTCTGAGCACACGTTGAAACGGGATTTGGTGCACTTTGAGTTGGGTTTACCTTGCTTGCCCTTTCTGGGATTACTGACTTGCCCAAGGGGAATCGACTGTTTGAACTTTGGTGTCCGGTTTTTCGTTCATAGTCTTGGCCCCAAAAGGTGATCACCTTTTCTTTGTGGGCAACTGAGATTTACGCCAGAAAGGTTCTCACTTCCAAGAACACCTTTGGGCAAAATTTGAGGCGGTTGGCTTTCTTCCTTGGATGTTCAACCCAAGCTGACCACGGTTGTATGCGCTAGGTCCCCCAGCTAGGTGCCCTTTCTCACCCCTTTTTTGGTTGGAAGGGTTCCCCTACTAAAAACGACTACAGAAAAAAATCGGGCACCCTTATTCTAACCGCTCAATCTACTGGAGGACCTAGTTGGTGCTTTCTTCTTTCCGGCTAAGTTCGTAAGTGGTCAGTAACCATGTTTGTATTTTCCACCTACTTCCAACCGGCCCAACTCACTCGGTACTCGTAGGTATCTCGATCTCAAAAAAAAGGAAAAAGTCCACCGAGGACCGCGCGGCCAAGTGGCGCCAGAACTTCCAGAAGGCTCGCGCCAGCGCGGCCCAGGCGTGGCTTCGGATCATTCGGGACCCGAGGCGCCGGAGTTGGAGGAGTCGGAATCTTGGACGCCTCAAAATGCGGGCGCTGGTCTTTGTCAACACCACTTAAAGGGGCAGGGTACTTAGCAAGCGGGTAATAACTATGGTGATAACCCACTTAGCATGGTTATGAGTTTCCTAAGAGGGATATAACCAGGCTTAGTAACCACTTACTAAGTACCCTGCCCCTTTAAGCAATGCATGGCATTACAGGGTTCATACAGTGGATGGTTGCGAAATCCGTGACCGCACCACGAAATGAAAGTTGTGGAACCACAACGTTTGTTGGTATTTGCAGGGGAATCGAATCAGAAACCAGGGTTTCTGAATGGAGGTGCAGAAAATTCGTGCATCCACAGTACCACCTACAATTGGTGGGTGCCCCCTTTCCCCTTTAAACCAACCCCAAAAAGACCCTCAACAATTCAACTCCTTTATTCGCCGCAGACATGTTTTGGGGGGCAACAGTGGTTTGCACGTGTTTGAACCACGGGATTTGTCCAACTCTGGTGGATTCCCCAAGCAATCGTGCTTGAGTTGCTCATCTAAGTGAGGTCGAACAGACAGCGGATTTCGGTCCATGAGGTTTGTGATATTGCAAGTTGGGAACAAGTTGAACCCTCGCAATTTACTTTGGTTTGTAGTTGTTTTGCTTAAATATTTCTCGGAGTAGTTTCAATTTCCCTGGTTCCTTTCCGGTCTCTGGAAGCCTGTTGTAGCAGGCCATATTGGTGATGCACTTCTCAGGTGTTCAAGCAAAATCTGCGTGCAGTTTGGTCACATTTTGCAGTAGTCTCTGGTTTACTTGGGGTTCGCAAAATTTCCCAGGTCCTCTTGGGGGATGAAATTTTGAGGTTATTTGCTCACTTCCTGCGTTCTTGGCCTATTTTTTTTGGGAAGATCATTTCAGTGATAAATAGAGAAGTCCAGACTGTGGCCAATCCACTCAGGACGTGAGTTTGGGAGAGGGAATTGGTCACTCTTTTGGTGTCCGCGGCTTTCATCTTTGGCAACCCTCCGGGGCTTCCAACCATTCTGGCGGGTACCCCAAATCACTAGGCTAGGAGGGTGTTTGCTTCTTCGTGAAGAGTTTCATGACTGTGGACAGAGATTTCGTTTAGGGCATTCTTGCCCTTGCCGACTGGTTTTACAGTCACACAATTTGGCCATTCCACATCCCTGCGGTCTGTCTACATACGCGCGCATATAATATGTAATTATACACATAACAAGAGTGAGGGACAGGAACGTGGACCGAGGCCGTCGCAAGTGATCCATGTGTTATCGGATGTGACCATCCCAGTTTGTAGTTTCCCTTGGTGTCCCTTCCCCAAACTTCCCCAGAATTGGCTCCCCTTGTTTCCCTTTTTTGCTTTTTTGGGGCCCCCTTTGTTTTCCACTAGCCAAGCACAAAATAGGTTTTTTTTGCCGGGGTTCTAATTCCAGCCAAGCAAAGAGGGTGCCAACTTCAAGAAAGCATCAACGTGCTTCTTTGCCTTTTGAAACCACCTCAAAGGGTTCGCAGCTTAGCCTCCATTGGAACCTTCCCATGTCAACAGGGAACCAACTCCAACGGTGCATGAGACTCTAGTGGTACACTCGAAACCTGATCCAAAGCAACAATTGGGTATGTGTAAAGATAGGGGTCCCTAAAATGGTTTGTTCCCTAAAATGGCATGTTTTTTCTTGGTGTCTCTTCAAAGCAAGCCTAAGAAGGGTTCCCTACCCTCCCACAAATGCTTTGGAGTTTGTTTGGATGCCCTTCCCAAATTGAGATCCAATCCCACCCCTCCCCCCCAAAACCCACTCATCCAATTTGGGTGTCGTTTTTTTTTGGGGGGCACCCATTTTCCTTTGGCTTGACCTTAAAACCAGCCAGCAAGGGAACCCTCCAAAACCAGACGTACCCATGGGTGCCTCTCTTTTTTTAGGAGTTGGTACCCGGTGTTTGGGGGTTTTCGAACCCGGCAAAACCGTCATTTTGGGGGGTGCGTCATTCTCAATTCTGGGTGTGTCATTCTCAATTCTCCTTATGTTTTTTTTTTTGCGGATTTAAAGAGAAACCAAACGGAAAAAGCCAACCGGAAAAAACAAGTCATTTTGGGGGGTGCGTCATTCTCAATTCTGGGTGTGTCATTCTCAATTCTCCTTATGTGTTTTTTTTTTTTTTTTGCGGATTTAAAGAGAAACCAAACGGAAAAAGCCAACCGGAAAAAACAAGTCATTTTGGGGGGTGCGTCATTCTCAATTCTGGGTGTGTCATTCTCAATTCTCCTTATGTGTTTTTTTTTTTTTTGCGGATTTAAAGAGAAACCAAACGGAAAAAGCCAACCGGAAAAAACAAGTCATTTTGGGGGGGGGGGGGGAACCTTCAAAACACGACGAGGCGCCGGGCCTCTTGCGCAGGTCCAGGCGGAGCTCCAGAAGTTGGACCTGCTGACGCCCTCCGATCGGGGCGCGGGTCCCGACTCCGGGCGGCGGGAAGCAACCGGTTGCGTGGGGTTAGGTGGGGTCTGGAGGTACGCGTTTTTCCCTCTGGCTTGAGCAGACCAAGAGGACAACCATCAGTTTTTTTACATCTCATATGGGCATGTGGTTGAAGGGATGTCGAAAGGGAAGGGGAACATTGCCCCGAAGGTAAATCGGTGTTTCCGTGGTCACAGCCCGGTATTTGGCTGGTGTCCTGCAGATATGTCCCTGCAGCTTGGCTTCCGATCTTCTTGTGTTGCTTTGGTGAAAAGGGAGGATGAGAGCAAGTTTGGGGTTGGAAACATGGGGTGTAAAATATTATTGGACAAGAGTCCACATCACAGGGTTGCCTGGTGGAGTTAGTGCCGTCTCGGGGAAGGGAGTGGGGTGCGGGGTGCAGGGGGGCTGGAGCAGGTAGGGTGCGGGGTTTGAGGTTTGGCGTGTGGGGGAAGGCAGCAGTTGGGGGCGAGGGGTCGAGGTGGGGATAGGAAGTGCGACTAAAAGCTCCGAAACACAACCCCAAAGCGATCGAATCCCAGCTGATTGTGGGCCAGGTCAGGGTGGCTTAAAGAGAAGCCAAAAAGGAAGACCGCGAGTCTTGTGGTGCTCCTCGAACACATACCCCTGACTGTGAGCTAATATCTAAGCGAAAGACCCCCAGCAAATCCATTTGCCTGAGGGCAGTTACCCCTGCCATGGGCAGGGATATGTAAATGTAAACACACATACACACACCCTGCCAACATGGAACCTCACAGACCAGTCCCTAAGACCTTTTACGGTCTTCTACGATGTTCAACCCACTTGGCAACGTGGGCTATCACCGTGGTCACAAATGGGACGGTTGGTGGACATGTAGGTGCTTTTGTTTTCAGGGTACCCGTTTTGCCTTGGTGTAAAGCAAAACCACCAGGAGGCTATCCATTTTCCGGGCCCCGACTTTGAATTTTGACAGATACCCATACTCCCATGGCCAGAACAGCATGGTTGTGTCACAAAATAATAACATGATGGTTTGTTTTCCTTGGGGGTTCCCCTCAAAGCCACACAGAAAACGGGGGCTATTTGCCCACGGTTCCAATGTCTGTCGCTCAGGCGAGCGGAGTAAGGTCATCGCTGGCATCCGCGGCAAGGCCGGCCCACGCAAGCAGTCACAAGGGTCTGTGACGCTTTCGCACGACTTAGAAACCGTGGTTGAAACCATACGGTTTGTTGGTTTCTACAGGGTACCCCAAACAATTGCACACCCATAGATGTTCTCACTTCCCGAGTTCCGTTTCGGACTTTAGTCACTTTTGGGGTGGTACACAAAAAGCTTGGTTGAACTCTTGGCGAGTCGGCAAAGGCGGTCTCAGGGTTTCATCCATCCCAACTGGAGGATGCTATCCACTCGATCGGACGTGAGAGCAGGTTCAGAACAGGTCTTTGACCAAGCATCTCCAAGTCATACCGTGGACGGACGAAATCCCTTTGCACTACTTTGAAACCATAGTTGAAACCGTGCTGTTTGGTGACAGGGGCATCGTATCCTGCCCGTTTTTGTTGCTTAGCAGTTCGCCGCCATACCCTTAGGCTTAGTAGGTTTTCAGGATTTAAAAGTTTCCATTTCACCCACGACAAGTCAGAAAACAGACTCTCTGAAGAAACTTTAGAGCCTCCGGCTCAGTCCGCCGACATTGTCCTCTCCCTTTTGTCCTTCTTCCTCTCTCCCTTGTCTCCCTGGTGTGTTCTGTCGTCCTCTCTCCCTCCCTCCGCTCCCCATCCTCCCCATCCCCCCAAGCCACTCTCTCCCCAATCTCCCTCTCTCGTATGTATGTATGTATGTATGTATGTATGTATGTATGTATGTATGTATGTATGTATGTATGTATGTATGTATGTATGTATGTATGTATGTATGTATGTATGTATGTATGTATGTATGTATGTATGTATGTATGTATAATGTATGTATGTATGTATGTATGTATGTATGTATGTATGTATGTATGTATGTATGTATGTATGTATGTATGTATGTATGTATGTATGTAATGTATGTATGTATGTATGTATGTATGTATGTATGTATGTATGTATGTATGTATGTATGTATGTATGTATGTATGTATGTATGTATGTATGTATGTATGTATGTATGTATGTATGTATGTATGTATGTATGTATGTATGTATGTATGTATGTATGTATGTATGTATGTATGTATGTATGTATGTATGTATGTATGTATGTATGTATGTATGTATGTATGTATGTATGTATGTATGTATGTATGTATGTATGTATGTATGTATGTATGTATGTATGTATGTATGTATGTATGTATGTATGTATGTATGTATGTATGTATGTATGTATGTATGTATGTATGTATGTATGTATGTATGTATGTATGTATGTATGTATGTATGTATGTATGCATGTATATATGTATGTATGTATGTAATGTATGTATGTAATGTATGTATGTATGTATATGGCTTCCGTTCAAAAAGGCCGGCTAAGGAGCCATATACAGTATGTGCATAATTCCTGTTGCATCTTGTTTTGTCCTCTTCGAAATGAGGCGGGCCCCCACCTAAATTAAGCAAATCCCACTGGCAGCGCTAGCTACGCGCTAGCTCCGCGCTAGGGCGGGGACTTTGGTTAACGTGGCGCATGTTCTTTCTGTCCGATCGCTTTCAGGGCTCAAGGCATTCCTTGCTCGCAAAGTGTCACCCATGTGGAGAGTGGAGACGAAGTACTATTTGAGCGGCATCAATTGCGGCAAACAATTCAGAAGCATGGCTGCTCTCTAATTGCAAAGGCTTTGCAGCGAAGGCTTGCCAGTCACTTTTGAGTGCTGTTGTCAATGCTGAGGATTATACCACTCGCCCGATGGCCGTTGCTATCGAAGCCTTCGAACTGCAATCGCAGCTGGATATGAGCGCCAGGACCAAGATAGCGATAGCAGACATGATAACTGGCTGGTGGTGGTGGTGGTGGTGGTGGTGGTGGTGGTGGTGGTTGTGGTTGTGGTTGCGGTGGTAGCTAGTGCTTGCACCGCTGCGCCCGTCAGGTCCTATAGCCACAGAGCCGTGGGGGAGCAGCTTGCCCCTTGGCGGGGGGAGGGGGGGCCGCGGCGGGCGTTTCGTTGTTTTCGGGTTGTTTGGTTGTGGGTGGGGGTGGCGGTGGCGGTGGCGGTGGTGCGTAGTGGTAGTGGCTGTGGTTGGTAGCTAGTGCTTGCACCGCTGCGCCTGTCAGGTCCTATAACGACGGAGTCGCGGAGGAGCAGCTTGCCCCTTGGCGGTGGGGGGGGGGGGTGGCGGGCGTTTCGCTCGTTATTTGTTACGGCTGTGGGTGGTTCGTGCTGTCGGGCTGTTGTGGGTGGGGGTGGTGGTGGCGGTGGTGGCGGGGTGGTTGGTGGGTGATGGGTGGTTGGTTGCGGTGGTGGTGGTGGTGGAGGTGACTGCAGCAGCAGCGTGGCCTGTTCCTGTGCTGCAGGAGTTTGAGGGAGAAAGCGCGGAGCGGGCGACAGCCCACAAGGCCAAGCAAACCCCCCCCCCCCCCAAGCCAGGAGTCACGTAGGTTTTGAGTTTGGCTCTTTCAAGCCCATTTGCAGGCTGCCGCTTCTGTGGATGAGACGAAGCCACAGACGATTCAGGAAACTTGTCCGATGTTTGTCACACTGTGTTGTCGTTTGCGTTTCTAGTCCGCCCCCAAGGAAGAGCGAGCGGAGACAAACAAGCAGCTGAGCCCTCCAAAGAAGCCGGAGGAGGTTTCTAAGAATGTGGAAAGTTTTGCGAATGTTGCCGACAAGCCTGACATCTGCTGGAGCACGACGCCGCCCCAGGATGTGGACAAAGTTGCGATTGTCACTGAGTCTGAGAGTTGCCAGAAGGCGATGATGGGCGAGGTTCCAGAGAATGGGGGCAAGGCTTTGAAGCCTGAGGGCAGCGTTGCGAAAGCACCTGTGACGCCGGTCAAGCGGGCCGCGCTCAGTGACGACCAGCTTCCTTCTTCCAAGAAAGTGGCTGGCTTTCGCGCCGGCTTTGGTGGTGTGACTGTGCGTGCTGAAACGTGCAAGAACCAGTACTGCGCACGGCCTAGGTCACCTGGCTGGCAAAATGCCCTGTGCCCGCAGTGCACCTACTGCTTCCGCAAGCCCGGTAGAAGCAGATGCGCCGCCCACTGGACAGAAGATATGAAGAGGACTGTGGCTGAGGAAAGCAAGAGCATGCGAGAGTCAGAGTTGGCGGATTCCAGACAGCAGCCCCTGGTGTTGCTCCAGAGGTTGTCGCAGCAAGTTGAGACAGCCGTCAAGAGAATGGCAGATTTGCAGAAGAGGGCTAGCTAAGCTTGCTTCTCATGATTTTCAAGGGGTTCTGTGAGGGGTTCCAGTCTCGTGACTGCGGGTGCGGGTCTTGCGACTGTGGTGAGTTGGGGTGCAGCACGAGAGAGTCAAAAGACTATCACTGCTGCTTCCTTGACACATTGCTGCAGCCATTGCACCAGAAGCAGTTTGTGATTTGTGTGGCATGGATGTTGTTGCGCTTGCTTGTGAGCTTGGTCGACAGATTGCGAGACACAGCAGTGCCGCTTTGCAGCAGTTGCTTGTGTCAATGGGCTTGCGCAGGCTCAGGGGTGACACTGCCAATAGAGCCGGCAAAGCCGGCCGGCGGAGGCAAGCATAAAAACATGAACTACAGTTTGGATTATGTTTCCTGTTTGTTTGTTTGTTTGTTTGTTTGTTTGTTTGTTGTTTTTCTCTCTCTCTCTCTCTTCCTTTCTTTCTTACTTTCTTTCTTTCTTTCTGTATTTCTTTCTTTCTTTCTTTCTTTCTTTCTTTCTTTCTCTTTCTTTCTTTCTCTCTTTCTTTCTTTCTCTCTTTCTCTCTTTCTCTCTTTCTTTCTCTCTCTCTCTCTCTTTCTCTCTTTCTCTCTCTTTCTTTCCTTCTTTCCTCCTTGTTGCGCCAGCCAGGAAATCTGCACCTGACCTTGCGAAGCGCTGCGCCTGCCACGAAATCTGTGCTGGTTTTTGCGAAAGTGCGCGCGTGCCACGCCCGCCCTTTCGAAAGCATTGCGCCTGTCACGAAATCTGCGCATGACCTTGCGAAAGTGCTGCGCCTGCCATGAAATTTGTAACCTTGCGAGAGTGCTGCGCCTGCCACGAAATCTGTGCCCGACCTTGCGAAAGTGCTGCGCCTGCCACGAAATCTGTACCCGACCTTGCGAAAGTGCTGTGCCTGCCACGAAATCTGCAGGTGACCTTGCGAAAGTGTTGCGCATGCCACGAAATTTGTAACTTTGCGAGAGTGCTGCGCCTGCCACGAAATCTGTGCCCGACCTTGCGAAAGTGCTGCGCCTGCCACGAAATCTGTACCCGACCTTGCGAAAGTGCTGCGCCTGCCACGAAATCTGCAGGTGACCGTGCGAAAGTGTTGCGCCTGCCACGAAATTTGTAACTTTGCGAGAGTGCTGCGCCTGCAACGAAATCTGTGCCCGACCCTGCGAAAGTGCTGCGCCTGCCACGAAATTTGCACCTGACCTTGCGATTCATGATGCTGCGAAAAACTGAAAACATTTTCAGTTTTTCGCGCTAGCTCCGCGCTAGCACCGCGCTAGCACCGCGCTAGCAGGCAGTTGCCAACTTGAACACTGGAGCACGTGCCTTGTGTTTTGTTGGAGGGAATACCCAAGAAGCCACTTGCATGTTTCTAGGCTGTGGTTGAATCCAATTCCTTTTTGTTAATAGCTGAAGATGTGGTGTAGAATTGGAATCTATTGTGTGTTAAAATCTCTTATATTTCCATACGGGTCAAACATTATACATATATATAGCACCACATAGTCACTGCTATGCCGCCAAAACTCTCCAACCGGGAGAAAGCAAATTTGAGAAGGAATGGCCGGGATGCTTTGTGCTTTGGAACGCTGGCAGACTTTGTATGATGTATGTTTTCCTTGCTTTTTGTTTCCTTGATGAAGCGACCTCTTGCCTGCGCATCTTTGACTTGGTAAGGTTCCGCTCCATCGGCACCAAAAGAGATTCGTCTTTGGAGCGCGCTGCTGTGGAAGCACTGGGCCACAATGCTCGGAGACGTAATTTGGACGAGCACAAGCGGGCAGAGTGCGCCCGGAGGTTCATGGCGAT